GGGGGAAGGGAGCCCCAGCCGGAGCCGCCCGCTCTCCTGGACACGGTCAGTCCCCCTCCCTTTCTCGCCTCTCGCCCCCTCCTCCCCCTTCTCTCCGCTCTCGCCCTGCTCGCCCTGCTCGCCGTCGCCCTGGAGGCGCTGTTGGGAGGCGGGCCCCCCCCCGGGGCCTGCGGGCGGGGATTGGCGGGGGCTTTTTCTCTTTTTGCTGTTTGTCGGTTTTTTTTTGGGTTTTTTTTTCTTATTCTCTGTTTGCTGTTTGCAGTTTTCTTTGTGGCTTCTTCCTCTGCAAGCTGTTTCAGTGCTGCAGTTTTTTATGCCTCTTTCTTGTCTTCCTGGAGCACGGAAATTCTCGGAGCCGTTTTGCAGCCATTTTCCTTAGCGTCACGACCTCAATGCTACTATCTTTTTTAGTGACAGTTTACTCCTTTATTTGTAGCTGAGGTGTGACAGGGCAGGCTGCTGTTTTCTGTAGCACCTCATATCTTTTTGTAGAGGATGTAGAGATATCGAGAGCATAGGTTGGGATTTAAAGGATGTGTGGAAATGTCTAGTCCAAACCCATCCTGGAAGATGGACATGTTGAAGTTGGATGGGTTTTTTTCGTGGTGTTGTCCTATCTAGTTTTTCATGTCTTTGCTTCTTATCATCCTTCATGGTACTTCTGCTTTGAAGATCTCTGTCGTATTCCCTTTCAGTCTTTTATTTTTTAACACGAGGAAATGTTCCTCAAACAGAAGCTGCTCTAAATCTTTGGTCATCCTACTGGCCTTCTCTGAAACTCTTCCCTATCTTCTCTTTTCTTGTTACCATGTTAAGAAGCGGAGTACCTCCACAAAATATTCAAAGTGTTGTTGAACCTTATATTTCCACAAAGTTGAATGAAGTGTATTGTTTATTTCCATGGTCTTCTAAATCTCACCTTTTGATTGGCACTGAGAACAGAGCTGATGATATATCCACATCACTGTCTTCTCTATGGAAAAGATGTTATTTCAGAACCTTAAATGGTTGTCTCAGAGTCAGTTACATTGTCTGTTGAAGCTAAATTTTGTCCTCATCTGCTCAGCCTTGTGGTGTCCTGCATGGAAAATATTTTGCCATTTTCCCATGTAGGTCTTCAAGGTCATCAGCTCTTTCTGCAGTTCTTCTCAGCAGACCTGTATTTTAACTCTGCTCCATAGGGTAATATCTCCCATAACCTTTGTTACATCACTCTCCATGACTTCTTGAGGTGAGCTTCGAAATGGCGCAGTTCCTGGCGAAGATCTCTGCCCGACTGGGGCACTTACTCAAGTGACCAGGTTTGGATTTCCTGCCACCTGTGTAGTTAATCACAACTCTTAAGTGCCTCTTTTGGCCTTCTTTCATTTTGCATGGAATGTCTTCATCTGTGTACATTTTCTTGTCTTGCAGGTAGGACAGTTTTAATGAACTTTCTGCTTTTGGCTGCTGAGAAGTGCAAGTTTCCAGTCTTTCCTTGATCAGAAGTCTGTCCTCCTTTTTGATTCTCCTCTAAAACAGAGGTCATGCAAGGTGACCACAGTTGGTACTCCAGGTTCTTCTCTGTTCACCTTGTATGGCATATATTAGTTTGTGAAGTACTACAGAATTACATGGAAAAGATAGTAGAAGCATTTCATGTTGCCACTTTCTAAGTATGATGTAAATGTACTTTCTAATACAACGTACTTAATGGCAGAAGAGCAGCAACCAAGTCAGCTGTGAAAAACATGCAGATTAAGTGTTATATGAGGCAAGAAGTATTGCTAGAGAACTTGGGTTTGGTGGGCAAATATATTTGTAGAAGCACCTCCGTTATGGTTCATGACTCTGCTAGTTCCATGTACCCTGCAGTGGTAGGCTTTGTATTTGCTTTCTTTTTTTTTTTTTCCTTCCTGAGAATACTTTTAAAAATAAACTGTTATTTTGTGCCTCGTTGTGTGTGTGCCTTGTGATGATCATGTGAATATGAACTGGGATGACACTTGAAACTCCTGATTCTCCCATAGACAGCATGGCTTAGCTTGCCTTTCTCAGGAGATGTGTCAGTAATTGTGAGCGAGAGCTGTGCTGCCAAATAGTGTTGACTGATTTCAGAATTTGTGCCCCTTGCCATCACTGTGCTTCAGTGTCTTGTAGTCTCTTAAGGTGATGTTTACCTCAAGAGAATGCTGTGAGACTTCAGGTTTAATTTCTGTCTCTGCCTTCACAGAAGTGGATACAGAAACACTGGCAATACAGCAGGGATTTGAGAGGCTGGAGAAAACCTGTTTGCTTTTCCAGCCCTGCTTCCCTGAAATCGTGAACTGCCATCCCTGAACTTGGCCCTGACAATGGAGGCCTGGAAATAAATCAAGACAACTGTTAGAATAGCAACAGGTGTAATGAAAGATGACCTACTGACAGGCCTACCTGGATTTTTTTAGCATTTGATATCTTCATTTTGTTTTGACCTCCTGTGGCATCGTTGATGCTTCTATGGTAGAATGAGCAAGTCACTATTGTGTAAAATCATCTGTTTCATGTTGCTGCCTGGCCTGTGTGGTGGGGTAGCAGCAAGTGTCCCTAGTTGTGTACGGAAGGGGCCGTGATGTGTTTATGTCAGTGGATGAGGTGAGAGCCTGGGAACACGTTGCAGGATAAACTGTACCTTGCCAGAGCAGTGGTGCAACCCTTTTGTATTGTCTTCAGTTACGGGATGTGTGGGTGACTGTACTGTATCCTGCAGTGGCTCACCTCCATCAGCAATGGGCACATTGGTTTACTGTACTGTGAATGCCTGTCTGCCTAAAAAGGTAAGAAAGAACTTGTCATTCATTGTGCAGCTACAAGTGGGGAATAAAACAGGAAATACTTTACTGAGACACATCAAGACTACGAGAGAGCTCAGGTTCCCTGAGCTATTTCACCCTTCCGAGAGGATTATGTGAGTTATGTTTAGTCTGACATAGAGTTAGGAAATCACGAGTTGAAATCTTTCGAATTTGTATGCATTGCTGGTTTCTTAGGTTGGACTTATGCTTCAAAAGGCAAAACCATTCTGTTATGGACAGACACAGATACTCCTTGTAATATCATGTCCTCACTCTATTATTTACTGTATGAAAACCAAGGAGAGTGCATGGGATTGCTCAGCTACATCACTGTCACTAAGCCATGAAAAAGTAAGCAGTTTCTGCTTGTTTTCAGCCTTGCTGCACTAGACACAAATAAATTCCATGCGAATCTATTTCTTCTGTGAATCTATTTCTTCTGGAGATCTGAGTACTTTCCATAGCTGGAAGATCAAGGATACAGTCGTCTTCTGGAGAGGAAACAGCTGAACTCTCTTTGCAAAGAAAGAAATGAGGAAACTGAGTTATGCCTCCTCAACAACGTGTAGGG